GTTGACTGAAGTCGACGGAACCAAACGGAGATGGTCGAAGGCGTGGGCTCAGGAAACAAAAAGAAAATCAAAAAAGAAGAGTGTAGCATACGTGTAGTATAGGAATAATCCTACACCGTATCGGTTGTTGACTGTGCGACTAGTCGCGGAAGCGTACGGGCAACCGTACTCGGCGACCGGAACGTGAGACGGCAGTCTCGTTCGTATCGCGTGAGCCTGCAATCTCATCCGAGGTCAGAGGCGGCGTGGTCTGCTGATCTGGACGTGAGACTATCGTCTCGTCCGTAGACGGTGCAGATGACGCGTGCTGTTGACCGGGACGTGAGAATGAGGTCTCAGATGCATCTAGCGTGGGACCTGAAGAAGATTTAAGGATCCCGCTAGGTTTGATAGGTCTAGCATTGAATCTCAGGGTGTCAGATAGGGCACTGTCATCGACGTGTGCTGGTTTGAGACGATCAATGCTGACGATCTCGACGCGTCCATATCGACCAACCTTGAAGGTCTTTTCGTGACGAGCGATCACGTGAAAAGGGCCTTCGTAAGGTTGTTGCCAAGGTTTGCGTACCGAATCTACTTGTACAAAAACATGTGAACAGGTAGATAACTCTCGAGGGAGAGCGACCTGTCGATGTTGTATTCGAGTTGACACCGGAGACAGCGTTCGCATAAATGCAGACAGTCGATGGACGTAGTCTGATTTACCGAAATTAGGTCTGCTCCGTGGTGTGAAGAATTCTCCGGGCAGACGCAATGTCGTGCCGTATACAAGCTCAGTGGCGGAACATTGGATATCTGCCTTTAAGCTCGTTCTCGCCCCTAAAAGAACGAGCGGTATGGTTTCGTGCCAGTTGCCGTTTTCGTGTGCTCGTAGAACACTTTTAAGTTGGCAGTGAAACCGTTCAACTTAACCATTTGGTGCTGGGTGGTAGACGGATATGCTTATGCGTATGCATTCCGTACCAAGCAGCCGGGTCAGCAAGGAGAATCGTTAATAGGGTAACATTTCTCGAATAAAGCGTGGAATTCATCATCACGCGAATAAAAAGTGACAAGGATTCGGTACACATACGTGTGAGTCTATTATATTAATACTATTCTTATCGTTATCCGTCATGTCGCGTATATTATATATAAAAAATATGAAAATATACGACAGACGTGGATAGATAAATCATAGACTCACCGAATTGGCTTCTTTGGAAGATTTGATCAGAAGTTGAGGCGTGTTCCAAAATACGGGTCACCAATTGTAGAAGAGTTGGGATTACCAATTGTATTCGAATTGGGATTACCAATTGTAGCGTGGCGTCGAGTTGAGATTAACTATGAACACCGCTACCAGGAAACAGGTGCCAGATAAATCAGAAGGCGAGGGTTGGACGTAACCAAATAGATCCATAAAATCCCCGAGAAGCCAAATATCAGAAGACAGTTAATGGACCAAGTCGAGGTTTATTAGCTGGCGATCTCGTGGCATCGAAAGGATACCGAGATCGTGCCAGGATACAACCTTGGTTACAGAACGTAACCGAATTCGCGCGAAGTTACAATCAAAGTGTAAGTGAAAGAATGGAAGCACAAAATAGCTGTCATTAGCACAATCAAACAAAAGCACGTTAAAACAAACACTGGTACAGTTGGTTATAATAATAATTGTTTTTATTAAACCAGTCGTGTTCTCGTGATAAACGTGAGTCACTACAAGTGAATAACGGAATTAAATAAACCAAATACGAGAATGAAGTTTTGAATACATATATTTTGTACACTCAGTGATTTGAACAGGCAATCAGGGAGACGAAACAAAGAGGGAAGAGCGAAGTAAATTAAAGAAGACAAGCGACAACTCGATTCAATCAACCTTTAGTGAATATTTATAACCTGATAAAAATAAGCTACAGACATGTGATGAGTAGGATAAGATGTACACACACTCATCTAAAAACAATCAGAAGAAATAAGCCAGTAAGTGAAAAGGTCAAAATGTGGTTTAAGAATAGATAGATTGACTTGTCCGGAAGCTAGAATAAACAATGTGGGTTTAGCATAGCACAAGACGTTACATTACTCCCAACAATGCTTCCAGTGTTTTTCCGATGTTCATATATATTTATCTCTGGTAAATAATCAGTTATATAATTTTTGTCACCGTTTTAAGCATTGGTCGTATCACAGTCACTAAAACTAGACATTGCACACACAGAATTATCAGCTGTATTATCTGAGCCACTGACAGAACAATTGTTTGTATTCCGATAACAATCAACATACTTGAGTTCATTTTTAGCCAAGAAAATCTTTCCATGATGAGTTTCACAGTAGTGCAGACCCTTGGATGAGATAATGAGTGGAGACAGTTAAAACCCATCTTTCTGTACACCAGTGGCATGAATGGTCTGTGTGTTAGTACAACCAAACAATTATTTCCGTTTTTTACCATTAATACAGAGAAGTAGTAGATACTGAGTATCAATGTGGTTACATATGAAGTGTTACAAATAAAGAAAATATGGTCTTTATTTTGCTGTTACAAAAATCACTGAATATACAGTCACTATACCTTCTAGTCCATCATCAAGGAAGCAAAACTCATATTTACCCAGTCCTTATAACTTTGTAAAGTTGTTGGCCACAGTATAACCTCAAAATGAAGAGGAAAGAGCAGTGCATCCTCAAACTCTCTGATAAGCGTAGAAAATTCAAGTGAAAAGTCATTTTGTTATTTGAGCACAAAGCAACCCTAGTTTATTCATATATTTTGATCTCTGACATATCTCTAAAGGAGATACATGTTAATCGACGAAATATTCTATCTTAAAAATATAAATTAACAGATCAGACCACTTTGAGCTATCGAAAATATATACACTCCGGTAAACATTCCTTTTTCGTTAAAAGTTGTGGGTTTAAGTTTTATAGAACTTTTGGTTAAATTCGACAAATATTAAGATTAATATGACTGTAAAAGGTATATATACGTAAGGAAGCTCGTTAAGCAAATGATAAATTGACCAAACTCAATGGGATAGTGATTTAATTTCATCGGGAATTAATTACCATATCAGTAAACAATTGGGTGCTCATTAGTGAATAGCCTCGAGATCACTAAATCAAAATTATTGCTAGGATATCCAACATGCGAAATCAATGTTCTATGTAATTACTCAGTAATGATATTTGATGACGATTACATTATACTGCAGACCGATTAAAGTTAGAAGATGTGGAATACTGGATTACGACCTAATGGTTGAACGATACCATATTTATTACCGAATTCCGGACTCTACAATACTAACGAATCTCACCAATGTGCGGTTTTAATTGGTTTTCAGCAGTTCCTCACATGATCTTAGATATATTTCTTAATGGTCTTTACAAATCAGCTCGGGTGACAGCGGTTACATAGTGAATAAAACTGATATATCGTAAACTTTCGACATTTTCCAAAGGGATCCGATCCTGTCTCCCATATATAGCAGTGGCTATAGGGATCAGAACACATAACCCTAGTCTACGTATTCAGGAGAAATTTGTGAGACCCCTGTACCTTCCTCGGCTGTTTATGACTTAACAAACGATTTTACTAATTTTTCACATCACCTATCTGTGTCGTTTTTTACCTCTTTTCGTATACTCTTCACTATCTAGTTATTTACACACTTCCTATTACGTGATTTCAACGATGTTTCGTGATTGTTTGTTTATACAGGTTTGACCTACTTTATATGTTGAACTACTGACTAGGGTCTTTATTTTATCATTCTTATCACAACTAGTACTGTGGCTCACCATTCTAGTGGTTCGAGATTTTATTCCGATCCGGATGAGCGTATTACTAAGCCATGAATATAAATCTTTCATTCAACCCTGTATATTACGTTTAGGCTAACCCTGCTTGAGCGACGGAGGTAACAAAGAGCCAAATATGGATTAACTGGGATGAATTTATTTCAGGCACTCGTTTACTCAGACAGACATTAAGAATGAGAAACAGGAAACGAAGTGTAGTTGAGAACGCAAACGTATTAACTCCATTTGGTAAAACGTGATCCACTATTTATAGCAATAAAATAGGACGAAAACATGTGATGAATGGGGTAAGCGATACACAAACATGCTAATGTAAAAGCAGCTAACGTTATAGGCGTATAACTGACAAGGTCAAAGCGTGACTTAAGAAGAATAAATTAACTGATCTGTCCGAAAGCTAGAATAACTAATGTGGGTGTGACAGTACTAGACACCACACTAGTACACTTGCCTTCTTCCTATCAATTCATACCTTTTACCCATTGTGTAGTTATGCGATCGATTTATTTGCGGTCATTAATTCATAAACTGCCTTTATTGACCTCATATTTTCATATAAATGTTCATTTATATTAGAGTGGAGCCTAATGACGACGTGATTGAAAACAGTATGTTCGCTTATATGTTGTTCTATCACAGGTTTTTCAACTGATTGACAATATTTAAACAACCATCAATTATTACACATTGATACTCACACTACAATTTAATGTTGCCCACTTACATTGAGATGGAAATGGTTATTTTGACTAATTACAACGGTTTTATTTATGTCAGTATCGTTATAAGCCACTCGTCTAGTACACTAAGAAGATAGTATTTACCATCTCAACCACTTAATATTATGGAAGAACAGTGTTCTTTGAGAACATTGTCGTTCTAGACAATATCTTTAGTGCCAAATTGGAGTCAACTGTGATTTTCCAATATCACTGCTAACTTTGTCAATATAAATCGAATCCTAATACACTTTGATTACAAAATTAAAGTCTTGTTACCCCAGCCTAAGGCAAAGCCACACGACTAATTTGAGTCACCGACTAATTCTAATCTCAAATTACAAAATTCATCTTTGGAAATGCCGCATCAGATGAAAACATATACATTTCAATTTAGAAATAAAAGTCTGTCTATCAAGTACCTTTCTATTCAGTAGGAGAACAATGAGTTATTGCACAATAGTTGAAGAATGTCTCTTGTAGAAATGAAGTATCCTGATTTAGGAAATATTAAATCCATAAAATAATATAAACAGATCAATTACAAAGTTACTGTATCATGTTGGGAAAGTGTTCATACACCAATCTAAAACCAGAAGACAGAATATTTACTTGACGGCTTCACGGTGTTGAGGTATACTACTGTGATATAGCAGATCTTCGCCAGAAACACACAATCGGTCTAAATCTATCACAGATCTGAAACAAATTGATTGTCATTTAGACATTTATACCCAAAGTCAAGTTTAATAGTATGCAACATAATTAAATAAAACTTAAACCAGTTAAAAAAAAGCGCACTTTGCAGGTTTATATAATACATGATACAAATCTATCAGTGCTAATCTGCCTATTACTTTGGTTATGACCGATCAACAAATACGATAAGTTAACTAAGCTAGACGACGTGACTTTCGTAACCAGTAGTTGGAAACTCTGGGTGACATGGCTCAGAATCGATCGCAATGGCGTAGGTGTATACACTCTCTGTCTTCCCTTAGACTAAGAGAATAAAATCGCTTCATATCTTTCTTTCTATGTACTAAATCTTTCTTCCTGTACTATGTTCTTATATGTAATCTTTTTTTTATACCTTACCACCACTGAATTAACCACTATGAATTCGGTGTTCAGCTTGTTGTGCTAATGAAGTATGACAACTTGAACCGAGGTACATATGTGCCTGGTCCTACGTTGTAGCTGACTGACTGAACACCAAGAAAACTTCGTTGGTTAATTCTGCCTGACCGTCCTCCACTTTTAGTGACTGTCGAATTTATAAATAAGATATTTTAAAATATACTTAAACATTTTAACCAACAAACCCCTGATAACGACAAAAACAGTGACTAGGTTCTGTTTTAGTTTGATAATTAGATTTCAATGAAACTGTCTATTTACCGATGACACTTTCCATCAAAGCGAATCGTTCAGAGTAACATACCTAACAAATTTAAAACTTGTGCTGGACCAATAAAAACACTATTCTATGCACCATATGAAATAACTCCGCTGTTAGTTAAACTGAAAGCGACTTTAAGTAGACCGATGAAAAACTTGTTTCTGACAATGTCTGTTAGAGTACCTAAAACGAGAAGTGGACCCAATCCATTTACCCTGTATCAAACTAAATAGTAATACGGTTGCGTACGATAACTCTGTATTTTATCGAGAATAAACATCATAAGATGTTCAGTTAAATCGCTTGAAGCTGTGAATTTTTCGGTATACTCGTCTAACGAAACTACGTCACACAAACCGAATAAGTAGGTCCACAAATCTCGAACATTAACGACCACTAATTGACACAAGTAATAAAAAATATTTATAATTGAACTTTATAGGGATTAAGTATTGAAAGCTATGCTTACTCAGCCTCGAAATATTTCGACATACATAACCTGCGTAGACCACCAACACCCTTCGATGAAAGCGGGGTGACTGTTTTCATAATGATCACATCGGTTGGTTCATCAGCAGAGAGATAATTTCCATCTGTATTGTCGACATTCACAAACTGGATTTGTCTAAAAATGTACAAAATTAACATGGCCATACATACAAATATATAAAGTCTACCTGTCAAGCTTTTCTTCCCAAGATAATAGTTTCAATTTCCTCTTTTTATATTTCATCTCAGATCTAGCGTCAAATAAATACTGTCTGTAGTCTAATCGGATAGAAATTTTTTCAATTTATACAGAGTTTACGACATGAATCAAAGAAAAAAGACAACAGACATGGAAAATTAGACACTTAACTAGCCTCGTGAGATTAGTTGTTTGCTTGTTAGAGTAGCATTGAAAACAAGTTGTTTTTTTACCACCAAACAATTGCTCCAAACCACTCAGGTTTAATAACTGGCATCTGATTGAGTATGTAACTCATTATACCCCCAATAACCGAAATATCTATACGTTTTCTTACATATGCAAAAAATAGCCAACAGGAATGATACCTATGTCGTTTAACACTGTTTCTTATTAATTCCTCTACTAATCGTTTTAAATTATCCCCATATACCTGTTATAACCAGTAAAATACAAATGACAGCAGTCTGAACTATATGAGACCACAATGTGTTTGTAATACAGAGAAACTTTTTTTGTTTTGTAGAACACTGTGAATGTATGTAATACACTCACATTTATCATGTAAAACAATAGACAACAATCAGCAGTAACACAAGCCTCAACAGCTATAGCACGTACTATTAGTGTTTCCTTGCAAGGAGGAGCGATCTGAAACACAACACAACAGTCAGGACCGGCAGATATCACCCAAGTAAGAACACGGCGTACGGACACAACAGAGGTATATTTAAAAACTGAATTACGCGGTTCAAGTACAAAAAGCGAAGTCTATTACAAAACGGTTTTACTCATTATCCTGTAGGTTTAGCCTGCGCAAGGCTTCTTCTTCTAGTACGTTCACTTTCTGTTGCTCTGCAATAAGGAAAACAAACTCGCATTAATAAAGTCATATGTAATGATTTTTGATACCGTCACACTACCCCCTCTCTCCATGATGCACTGTCCTCAGTGCCCGGTACTGGACAAACATGTTTAACATAGCAAGAAGATGTATGATAACGACACTTCTTACCTCTGTTCTGTACACGATTATGCCCACATTTCCGGGTTTTTCGACCGAAATGATGGCAGTAAAAACATTCGGTTTTTCGATTCTGTCGATGGACTCGCGGTGGTTGTATCGAGGGACGATGATTGACCGCAGAAAGTGTTTTTGCAGGATCAAACTGGCGCGCGACCCCCGACTCTTGGATGGCCACCGCCGCCGAATAGATTGAAGTTGTGGTGCTCCGTGGCTCCTTTCGCCTTCTCATCATCTAAATACGACAAGAGCCACAGCTAACTGTTTTGCTGTATCCAATTCACCTTCCCAGAATTGGAGAATTTTAGACGAATGTTCTTCTCTGGCGGTGGATAGTCAGCTGACAACTATCCAGTTTTTGTCTCGACGCCAAACGACGAGTGGAGAACCAATTGACTACCTTCATTCCCTACAGCAAGCAGCCATCCAAGCTTTTCCCAACCTAGAATTCTCGGTCCGAGAACTTGTACACTCACGTTTTGTAGAAGGGCTTTCGCCTGGTGCACTGCGCCAGCACCTCTTAAGCATGCCACCTAAAAGTATACAGGACTTAAGAACCACAATCCTTCGATTAACGGCTGCTAACAAGTTAGTAAAGTCACATGTAATGATTTTCAATACCGTTACACAGATGTTAGTTGAAAATTGCGCGCGTCCTTAACAACTGATTCAAATTGCCCAAATGGTTGTGCACGGAATAGAAGAAGCTTTCGCTTTACGGGCTTCCGTGTCCAGTAGAAGTGGATCAACAATACCTCCAGGCAGGAACCCAGGTATATTAACGACAACAGAGGAAAAAAAGAAATTGGTAAATCACAATAAGATGTTAATATTAGTCCTCAAGAATTGGAAGTCGCTTGGACTAGCTCAGCTGGCAGCGAATTCCAGCATTTGACAACTCTTAAGGAGTAGAAGTTGTGTCTACAGTCCGTTCTGCTGTGTGTACCTAGTTTCTGGGTGCTACCTCCTAGGTTTGTATTGGGACTAAGCTTAAGTAAGTGTCCATACCCTTTTGGAATGAGGAAGGAAATACTACGTTTCCGTATTCTAAGTGGAGACGAATAAAACTGTTGAAGATAACGTGGAAAGTTCTTCCGTCAAACTGGCCCATAATGCGTCTCAATGTTACTTGTTCAAGGTTTGCTCGAAAGGAATTTTTGTCACAGTTAGTGTAAGACTTTAAGTCGTAGAGCACCAGCACTCCTAAATCTTTTTCAACTCGGGATACTTCTAGAGAAGATTTTGCTTGGTTGCGGTTGTAGCCTGCAACATGTTTCAGATGAACTACTTAACACTTTGAAGTGTTAAAGGTAAGTCCGTTGTCATCTGCCCAAATTTGAAGTCAAGTCAGAACCTCCTGAATTACATGTATATTCTCTTGGTTCTATATCTCTCTCTCCAAAGTCTCACGTCATCAGCAAAACGTAATAAGTCTGACGATACCTGTTGTGGAAGGTCACTTGTATAAATCAAGAAGAGAAAAGGTCCTAGTACTGAGCCCCGGGGAACCCCACTAGGACACTCCATAGTATGCGATAAAGTGATGTTTGTAAGGATTTATTTACCGTTACAGATCACTCCTCCCCCATCGAGAGGGGCTTGTCGTCGACAAACACCCTTCTGATAGCTTGATACATTCAGCAGCATCTGGTCGTCTTTCCTTACTGTAAGGGGTAATGTGGTGCAATATAGTAATGAAAAAACAAATACAATGAAGATTTCGACTCATTTTAATTTTCGTCAGTTTTTTATCTTCTCCAGCTGTCCTGGGAAAATAAAAAAGGATATGTACGTGCATGCTGACTGCCAACCGTAGGTGCGTAAGGACACAAAAAAGGGGAAAAGGGTAATTAAACGTATGTACATGCATTTCGTAAACATGCAACAGCGTAGAAACAATATTCGTAGAATGAATTATTGTTTTTCGTGATAAAAAGACATACACATATGAGCATGTTGGCAACAAAAAACCTGTTTCTGCTTTTTGAGTACAGGTTAAGTATAAATATGAGCATATCAAATGTAGTTTATTTTTGTTTCTTTTCGATACCAAAAAATAATTGAGACGAAACAATGGGTAGTGTAGTGTCATTCATACAGTATTCATTCAAATGTTCAAGAAACCTTGCCCTTCTTCCACGGCGCGTTGTCAAATACTACCGAATATTGTCATGCTTTCGATTTTATGGTGAAGCATCGCACTTGTGAGACTCGCGTCTTTCGATTGTACCGGAGGAAAACCGACATGAATACGGTTTCCTTCTAAATCGTTCCGTTTTTATTGATGATGTCGTTCTTAAGTTCACGGCGAAGTACTTTGAAGGATCCTTGGTATATCGTTTCGAGCGGTCGTCGAATTGAGTCGCAACATACAAAAATATGGCTACTATAATAGATGGTGCTTGGAGGTAGTCTACAGGAAACCCTGGACCCGAATTTCGTGCTACTTGGCGCTCGTCAGCAAGGTGTACCTGTAATCTTGGAAGGGGACTGGTGCTCCCTGACGGATTCGATCCCGTGTCACCCAGCTTCACAGTCAGAAACGTTACCACTGAGCTATCCGGGCCGCGATCAACCTCCTGTAGGACTGAGATGTAATCACAATTGATTGATCACTGGGTGGTGACCAATATCATGTGTGTCAAGTCCTTACTAGCGCCGATCGAATGCTATCGACCATGGCTACTATATCGTAGGTCAGGTTGGACGAAAATATCAATTGATTGAGGTCGAGTGGAAACAGGTTTAAATGAGCACATTGCGTTTGTGAGCATGCTCGTGCAGGTGTTCAGATCCATACTTACTGAAGATGAAGGATCTACGAATTGTCCCGGAAGTCGGAGTGTCGTTCCAAAACCATTTGAGCTGCAGTGTATCCAACGTCAGCTCTCATTGAATCGCAAATACCGAGCAGCACGAATGGAAGAGAGTTAGTCCACCGTGAAACTTTTGCAGCAGAGAGTGAAACCTTAGGCTGTCGGTGAAAGTGTTCCACCAACCCGTTTGCCTGTGGGTGGTAGGTGGTCGTTCGGAAGCGAGTGATTTCTAATAGTTTAGTCAGACAACGGAAAAGCCCAGATTCAAACAGACGTCCACGGTCTGTAGTGATATTTAAGTGTTAGCCAAAGCTTACTGCCTACCATTCGACGAAGTTGCAAGCCACTGCCTCAGCAGTAATGTCTCTTATAGATACTATCCTAAAAACTTAGGTTGATTAGTTAAGGGTTGACCTCAAACATCTAAGTATGTGTCAAAACAACAGAGCTCAAGTATTCGTTCACTTCCGTATTTTGTAAAGGGATTATGTTTCAGATTATCTGACATTGAATTTTTAAATACTTTGTGTGTTTGAACAGGTAACCTCGTGCTCGGATGTCTAAATAACAATCTATCCACTAGTAGTCTGGTTTCTTCTACCAATAGAACGAGGGATACCTAAAGAAACGTAACTGTTTCTGACCATCGTATTAAACAGTCTGTATAAGTCAAGAGATAAGAATATCCACTTGAATTTGGCAAGAGTTTTTCCAAGTCAAGTTAAACATGGTCGGAACGAACATAGGGAGCTTTGAATGGTCATAAGTGACATTTGTTGTGTCTGATCACCTTGGATTTCTAGCAACTTGCACAGGAGCGTGCCCACTCTCTCACGTTTTTATTCATACCAGGTCAGCAAAATCGTTCTGCTGTGAGCTTGATTGTTGCGCGAACACCTGAATGAGAAAGCTCGTGCAACGTGGTGAAGATGTTGCGTCAATAATGTTTAGGCACGACCGGACGATCCGTACCTGTAGATGTATTACGTAGTGAGGTTTCCTTACCTGTTCCCATCTGTTTAATGCACAGTTTAGGGGATGTTGAAGGTAACTCGTACTGAAGGTCAATGTCTTCTTTTTGAAGTTTAATAAGGTCAAGTCACTGGAAACTGTTCGGAGAAGTTACACGAGACAAGGCATTTGCATCTACATTGTTTGCTTCAGAAATGTGTTATGTATCTAAGGCGAACTGCAAATGTAGTCCAGGAGCGGAGACTCTCGAGGGGAGAATTTGTAGTGGTATTGGGTCTTAACCACACAATTCTCAAAGCTGAACACTGGACAATTGGAGAAATAGTTATTCAACTTTAACGCGGGGAAGAACCCGAAGATCTAGAAGGCAGGAAGAATGAACTGAATGAGTTCGAGTTGGTCGAATAGCGTGGTTCAGCTTTGCAGGTGTTATCCTACTCATGTAACAGTCTTTTATCTATATTTAATATATTGTTCTGTCTCCAGCCTAAATGTGTTCATCATATATTGATGATTATTACAATACAAATGAGTCAAGGTAGATAATGATGTAGCATTCACCCCAGATCTTATAGATCAGGCAGTTACATCATGACTAATCTACAATTTTAGGATTATGTCTATTATTAGCGCAGTACTAATGTCATAGTAGACTACAATCCTACATACTTTTTTGAAGATGTACTTAAAGAGGCAGTAAGACTTTTATGCCCAGTAAATAGAGTGGATTGTCAACCTTCAGCAGAGTGCTAAAGGCGCCGCACAACACAATACATAGCTAGGAGTTCCCTTCCAAAACTGCTATGGTTCTGGGTAATTCATGATGGCCGCTACTTTGCTTTTCAGAGGTCGGATGCCTTGAACATAAACAGTATGTCCGAGAAAATCGAGGGAGTTGATTCCGATCTGGCATTTCTGAGTGTCTACGGTAATGCCATGTTTTTCAATCGTTCGAGAACAAGGTCCAGATGCTGGAGAGTGAGATTCTCTGTTTGGACATGCGATCAAGTAGTCATCTACAAATAAACGGATGAATCTCTGGAAAGTTTGTGCAGTATTTTCTAAACAGAAAGGCATACACGAGAATTCGTAGAGTCTGAGAGGTGTGATGATCGCGGCTTTAGGAATGTCGGCTGAAGCCATGGGATTACGCTTATATGTTTTAATTAAATTGATTTCAACACAGTAGTTGTAACTTATAAGGTAGCTGTCGAAACTTGAATGTG